AAAAGATTCGAGAGTCAGGATCTAAGGCGCCGCTCGTTCCAGAAGAATGGATCAACTACGCAAGAACATTCATTTGTACACATGGAGGGAAGTACAAGGCCAGGGACAAAGGGAAAGGAAAGCGGCAGCGCTCAAGGGCCTTGCAGTGCGGCGCACAGGTATGTCAGTATCAGTTGGGCTCAGCTGGGCTCAGTTGGGTACAATTATGCTCAGTTGGGCCCTATTCGGCTTAGCTGGGTATTTTCCAATTGGTTTACTTATGATTGGTCTGATTGGATGTAATTGTTGTCATAGATCAATGCCTGTGTGCAAGTGGTGGATACAACTGGCCCGAAGTTTGCTTTGAAGCTCACATCCGTGCGTCTGGAGCACAACCACCCGTTGTCAAGACACAATTATAACCAGTATCCGGACAACCGGACAGCGCTGGAACCCGACGTGCTGTCTACAGTGGACCATCTTCGCCGGGCTGGAGCAAAGAAGAAGAATATTTTGGCCTACATTCACGACAACTCATCGTGCATGCCAACCAGAAAGGACATTCACAACCTTGTTAACAGGCTGAAGAAGCAAGAACACACTGCTCCGACTAGTGCAAAAAGATTGAAAAGATGGATGATGGAGTTTGCCGAGGAGCCAGGCAACATTGGCCGCATCTTTGTAGATAACGTGCAGGACAAGGTATGATGTTATGGTTTGTTATTACTACTATTTCTACTATTTCTATCAAGTAAACTACTAACTCGACTGCAAATGTAGCGTATTGCTACATGCATTACTTTACAGACGAAGCACATGCGCGCTCTAGTTGAGAATCTCCCAGAGGTCTTGATGATTGACGCTACTCATGGCACGAATGTGTCCAAGTACAAAGTTTTTTCGATCATGGCTCATAACGCCTTCAGCCAGGGGCAATTTGTGCAGCATGCGGTGGTACAGAATGAGCGCCGCCCTACGCTACTGACAGCTTTGGAGGAGTTTAAGCGCAACAACCCCGCGTGGCCACGTATAAAGTGCATCCTCATCGACAAGGACTTCACCGAGATGTCGGCTTTGAAGATGGTCTTACCGGAAGCACTCGTGTTACTTTGCCAGTTTCATGTTTTAAAGTACCTGCGAGAAGAAATTGCTTCGGCTGAATATGGATTTTCTTCATGGCAGAAGCTACAATTGCAAGCGATCGTCAATCGTCTGGTCTATGCTAAAACGGAGCGAGAATTTGAGCGGTACCGCAAGTACATGCGTCACATTATGGCTGTAGGACGTGGAAGTTCGTCACGTTCCGGGTTCAGACAAAGTCAGTCAGGTGCTGGTTTTCCTGAGTCGGGTGCTGGAATTGCTCAGTCGGGTGCTGGTTTTGTTGCAACCGAGGAACCTCCTCACCCTTTTGACGCATATTTCGCCAGAAATTGGGACTCGTGTCGTCATATGTGGTGCTCTTTCGAACGGCAAAACGCCGTCACCCTTGGAAACAATACTAATAACCGAATTGAAGCGTCCTGGAAACAGTTAAAGGACCTTGTGAATTGTTTCCTGGGCGTGGACGAGTGTATTACGGCCATCATGTGGTACCAAGCACAGGCAGAGCGAGAATTCATGAACTCACTGAGCGATCTAACTGTTGTACACAATCCAACCTACGATCGAGAGATGCGTTTTGTAACGAACATGGTGAGCGAGCATGCGTGTGAACTCATTTATGAGCAATATGCCTACGCTATCGCTGGGGTCAAGTACAAGTTCTATGAGCCTGTTCCCGACGTGATTATTATCGAGCACATTTCCGATGCGGAAGACGCCCTAGACGAACTCCGGTCCGAATATTCAGTCTCCAAACGCGATTGGACGTGCTCATGTTTGTTCATGAGCTCAAGATTACTTCCCTGTCGTCACGTATTTTTTCTTCGCAAGGCTCTCGGCTGTGAAGACACAATCCCTACACAGTCATTGAATCCAAGGTGACTGTTAGCAACGCTACGTCGCACAATGAAGGACGAGCGCGTAAGTGTTGCACGTGAGCCTTTTGCTGTTGGTAGAGTTCTGGAAGAACCGAGTGCTGTCTGGGATAGTAATCGTAAATTTCGCGAGGCAAATGTGGTTGCGTCTACCATTACTGAGCACATGAGTGGACTGGGGATGCGTGAGTACAGGGTGGCAATGAAGGCACTACGTAGCGTTGCTACAATGTTCAGGCACGGTGAATTCGATGCATTCAGCGGTTCCCCTCCTGGTGAATTTGGCTCCGCTGCTTCGCATGATCGTGTAGGTGAAAGAGAGCCTTCGACAATTGCGACTGAAGTGGATTATAGTGCGACGCTCACGACGCGCGAAGGAGATGCTGTGGAGATGGTTCCGCAAACTGCGACTGGGTTATGCAGCGGAGACGATCGTCCGCTGAGCTCTGGTGGTCATGTGCCTGTTCAAGCCCAGTCGGGTGCCGTTGGGCACACAGTCGGTTCAATCGGGCACA